CAACAATATAGTGGGAATGTTAAATTTAGTTATTTTTAGAAGCGATAGGATATCGCAAGTTTGTTTACATAACTGTTTACGAATCATAGTTGTGAATTGGTGATTATTATATTATTGTGTCATGTTACTAGAGCCCTTTTAAGTTTTTCTCCTTGTTTTAATTGAGTATTATTGTGTCATAATATCTCATAGTGTTTGGAACATTCTATACCTCTCTCAGGTTATAAATACGCCTCCAAATTATAGTTCTATATAACTAAGTAGATCTGGACTGCGTGATTGTGCGCTTAGTGATAAAGAGAATAAAGTGGCGATTTTCAAAAAGAAGTTATCACAGATCGTATTGTAATAACAGAGCAGAGAAAAATAATTCGACTTATCAGTTGTGTTCTAAAGTAATTGAACCAGCCTGTGTGGACGAAAAAGAGACACATTTTGTAGCTCTGGATACAACTATGGTAACGAACATTTGTAAATATGTTTGACTTGTTTTAATATATTATTTTAAAACAAGTGAACTATATTGCTGTTTGTTTATTGTTGAAAGTTATCGTCAACGAGCCGCAGACACTTACCATAAAGAATCCGGCCTACGAAACATGAAAGTAGCGATATGGCTGGGGCTTCCAATTACAAAGTGTCAACAGAAGCCATTGCATGCGACAATTTCAAGCCAAAAAATGCTAATGTTTCATTAAAAGAATATAGACTATGTAGAAAACGTTAAAATACCACAAGCATAATTTATTTTTACACCACAAGAATAGGAGGTTTGGCCGAACCCCCCTGTATACGTATGTGGTTCTAATGAATTACAATAGCAAAATATGAAATTATTTGAATCAAGCTGAGTTTTTGTATATTATAATATGTCTCCAAGCTATCAAAGTTGTTGAAAGAATGAATTGATAAGTAAAAACGTTAAAGAAACTCCTTCCCACAAAAACGACATTTCATAGCCTCTAATACAAAATAGAAAATATATGAAGTATCCAAGGAAGCTCTGTTGAGTAATTGTGCTTACAAGAAAAGATATTTTCTTTTATGACAGTCATATATTATTTTACAAAAAGAGTACTTTCAACTAAATTGAGTGGTGTTCTCCCCAAGATACTGCTGTTCTGTGTCGGGATTTAGGTCCATCTTTTTGACCAAAGATAGTCAGGTTCAACTTTGGCCTCTTTCTCCAACCACTTTCCTCAATACATTTGATTTGAATTTCGCGCAAAGCTACGCGAGGGATATCTGTGCTAGCCTTCCTTAATTTAGCAGTGATAGACTAGAGGGAAAGCAGCTAGACATTACCATCCACTGCCAACATTTGAGTTACTCTTTTTACCAACAAATACTGGGATTCACCATCACGTTATAACGCCCCCACGACTGGAAGAGCGAGCACGTTTGGTGGGATGGGGATGCATGCTATTAAATAACACTAATTAGTCTAGTAGAAATAAGGTTTAAATGGGAAACATTGTAAGAGAAGTAATTCCTCTGCAGTGTTGTTATTTATTTAGTGCAAAGCTACACAATAAGCTGTCTGTACTGTGTTCACTGCGAGGAATGAAACTCCAGCTTTTAGAGTTTTAAGTTTGTATATACATACAATTGACCCACTGGTCAGCCTCTGCAGTGCTATCAAGGTGCATATTCTGTACAATATTTTAAAATCGGACAGCAAACAGGTTTTAGAGGAGAGATGATATTTGGAAGAACAAAACCCTCTTATTCTACTTCGAGGATCATATAGGTCATAGATCAATAGGTATCAGGCAATGAACAAAAAGTAGTAAATAGTTTGAATGTTGTATTGAGTCGTTCAATACAGGCTGCTATCAAAATATCAAAATTTTACATTTGTTTTCACAATATATCCTGGTAAGTAAAGGTTTAAGATTGTATTGTTCATACTTTTGTATTTTAGTTATATGTTTTTAACAACATACTAAACTGTAATTAAAATTGAATCAATAGAAAATAGCTTTAGGAGGGGCCAAGTATTTGGGGGTACGAAAATCTCGCAATTTGATTCTGTCCCTCAATGTCTTATGTAATCATCGAATAGGGTCCAAGTATTTTTAATACTCGAATATTTTCTTGTCTTACCAATAAAAACTAACTTTTGCCAGTCCCAGTTTTAGAAAAGCCTGGACTAATACGTAAAATCATGCACACCTTTTTATTACAATTGTTTCCTATTTAGGGTTATTTCTACTAAATTAGATATCCAAATAGCTACACAAAACATAAGGGTCGGGAAATGTTAGTGGAGAATAAATTGAACATGGACAGCAAAGTAAAAGTAAGCAATCGCAAATGAACAAATAAAACATCACTATTCACAATAGTATAGCGTATTTTACCTACGTATTCATTAGTTTGTTTGGATTCTTAATTGACTGCTGTGCTTCAAGACAGACAAGGGGATACTAAATGTGGTATCATATGATCCATAGCTTACATCAACTACTATTTCAAATGACATATTCAAGGAAGAGATCCCTAACTCATATCAATTTCTACAAGTATCTATATCATCCCTTGAAATTGACTTGCTGCATCTCCTGGAGTGGACACAGACACGGGGTCAATCTAGCACAAGCTTATTTGAAATCTTGCTTTGGGGATGGTTTAGACAAAGGAAAGTATACTCTAAAAATATTGTTAATGGACTACATCTGTCTAGGAAATTTTTTGGGTGATGTTTTGAGCTGCAAACTTTAATTAAGTGATCATCACAGTGTATAATCTTTACTTCAGCAAAACAATTAGTATATGTTTACGACTTTTTGACATCTTACTTACAAAAATGTTATTAATTACGTAGAGAACATGAAAACTTAGAAAAATTACCTGAATATACCTTAATGCAGGTACATTTTGAACTATTTATGGAAGGGTAAAATTAACTCTTATTTTAAATGTGATAATGTAATCATGGAGGAGGCTTTTACACGCTATAAACTGTTACCAACTGACACAAAGCAGCGCGATATGTGACAGTAGAGGAAGTTAGGACACGAACTGCACGTAAACGTTTCTACACAGCCACATTTTGGCACAGTTTAGAGGGAATTGAAATGTAACATGAAAATAATATCAGCTGCATACTAGATTTTTTTGACACCATAATGCAATACTAATGAATAATTATGTGTAACCTCAGCAAGAGAACTGGCGTGTGTTTATAAACTTCATAAATCTGGTTTATTGAGAAGATGCTAACAACCTGTAGAACTTGCACGAAATTTGTGCAAGAATGTTTAGGCAGTGTCCTTCAATGGAACACCAGACGATACTTTGAGGTCATAGTGCCCTCTGTGTTAAGACGGGAATGGACAGTCTATAGTAGTGCTAATTGTTAAGGGTAAATCTGACGTTTCACATTAAGAAAGCAGATATAAACATTAATACACGAAACCTTGTGTGAGTTGCATGATGGAAAGACATCTTGATGGACAAAAGCCAACTGTTGAATTTAAGATCCAGTGAAAGGCAACCATCCAGAAATTGTGTTAGCATCAGAGTAATAAATAAATAAAGCTTGATTTCATTTTATATTACACATCATATCTAGCCTGTTTGCTTCTTTGCTTAAACTCAGTAAATTCAATATTACTTCATAATGTGTCTTGCTGATCCTTCCATTATAAAATGACCTATCTAATACTTTGTGCAGACATCAGTTTAACCTGAGAAAACCGTATAATAAAGTCACTATATACAATTAAGAGATATTATTATTAATGAACAGATATTTTAATTCCTAAATTATTAACTTACAGATAAGTTAAAAAAATATTCTCTGTTATCTCATTTACTGGCTCTAAACTATAAATTCAGATCCTTTTCGTGGTTTTCATTTCCTTGGATGTGGTATACAGATAGGATGATCTCTTGTACTTTGTTGTAACTCGTTGTCTTATCACTGAAATTCTCTCCATGTCGAGACAATCCACTAGTGGCTCTATTCTTTATGATAACCTGAAATGATCTTGGCAGAATTCATGGCTATTCATCAAGTGCGCTTTCCAATAGTAAATACTTCTGAAACCTGTCTCAACATGCCTTGGATCTTTAGTAGAAAAATTTTAATGCGAAGTTGGGGCTCATTTTACTAAATAAATATGATAGAAAATTCCTAGTGTGTCTGCATACTATAATGCTACACTTTAAGTCAGATCACAATTTCAGCTCATTTTTTAGCTCTGTGAGAAATAAACATACTGGACACATTTGATAGAAAGGAAAACAATCTTTTTTTTAAGACACAAGAAAAACAGCATACATACTTGTGTAGACAAGTAGATGATTGCCCATATTGGATCAGTGAATAGAACTTCAGCTTTTCTTCTCTCTAGATAAAGGTGTGCCAAACTAAGTCAGAAAAGATGTTACCTGTTATAGAGAACAACAAATACACAAAGGCAACTATTCAGAATAGATGATTTTTTTAAATTCCTGTGTTATTAAAGATTGTGGAAAACATGATATTCCTGCATATCACATTTTCCCTTCTTTTTTGTTTCAGGCTTAACCATAAGACAACAATTAAAATTGATTACGTAGAAAACACACACAAGAAAACTCAGTGGACAGTTGTCTTTCGAAATTAGCTCCTTTATCCATGTGGAATTTTTCCTTTACTCTGCACTGTGTTATCCAGTTCTCCACCAAACCATTAGCTATGGACTGTGCTAATGTATCAACCAATGGATAGGGTATGCCCCACTATGTGAAGTAGTTGACAGTGACAAGTATCTAGCAATAACATCTTGCACTTCCTGGAGGTGGACCAGCAATGTACAAGGCTATCATCTACATAGAAGACACCCAATTTTCTCTTAAAGTTTGACTTGTTTTATTTCTGAGTGGAGCATACCATTCTGTATTCACATCAGTGGCAAACATTTTGACTTGAATGCAGCCAGAAGATCCATCCAAGCTCAGGTTCAGGCATTGAAAGCCAGTTCATGAGCCAATCTATTACAGGGAGTAAACTGTTTGAATTTCCTTGGGAAATTATCAAAATGGTCTTTTACCTCAACCTTAAACATCGGTTTAAGTAAAGTAAACAAGTAAAGTTTGGTTTATTTTGAATTTCGCGTAAAGCTACACGGGGGCTATCTGCGCTAGCCGTCCCTAATTTAGCAGTGAAAGACTAGAGGGAAGGCAGCTTGTCATCACCACCCACCGCCAACTCTTGGGCTACTCTTTTACCAACAAATAGTGGGATTGACCGTTACATTATAACGTCCCCACGGCTGAAAGAGCGAGCATGTTTGGTGGGATGGAGATTCGACCCTTAGGTTGTGAGTCAAGCGCCCTAACCACCTGGCCAGTAACACTGAATATTTTACTTTTATACCCATACACCTTTACACGTCTAAAGACCGTTAAATTTACTTTACATTTCCATTTCTGGCACTTATAATATTATTAGGAAGAAGCTCAGAGAAATAATTTATAAATGATATTTCATGTTACATGCCCAACTCTTTTCGAAAATTAACGTAAAATAATTTTCAGTTCTTTCTTTTAGCTGTGTTTCTTTTTTAACTGCATCACATTTTTCACACTAAGTTATAATATTTACAAAATCCAAATCTGATGAAAAACTAATTTTTGTATGCTATCAACTGCTGGAATTTTGCATTTATCATATTTGAATGTATGGTAATCTTAGATAAAGCTGAAACAAATGGAAAAATAATAAATATTGAGCCCAAATAGCTCAGCCGTAAATCTACAGGCTTATAATCGTAAAAATCTGTTTTCAATACCTGCAGTGGGCAGAGCTCAGATAACTTATGGTATAGCTTTATGCTTAAAATCAAAGTATTGCAGTAACTAATGGATCCAAGTGATCTGTTTATAAGCTACTGTAATGAACTCGAGAGAGAAGAAGGGGAGAGACTCAAATACATATGCGAAGTACAAAATCTTTATTCTTATGCACAGACAAGATGTGCTTTGGCCTTAATTACCACTTCCTAGTTCTAAAATAAAGTTGGAACAATATGGTCACTGTGGCAGAAGGAAGATAACATCGTCACAAGATAAGAAACTGCAGAATTGTGTCTATCACACTTTCAATCTAACCAAAATGGTAGTAGTAAGACAGTATTCAACAATTCTAGATTACCTATGTCAGTGACCATCCCCAATTTCCACATTCACCTTTGTAGAATCATTGTGTCATTTAAGGTATTCAGTTTGGACACTAGTTATTTATCAAAAATTCTGTTTAATCACTCTTGTTTTATGTTCCTATCAGTCATGGTCCCTGAGCAGCTAGTTTCCAGTTGCTTGCATATTTAGACTGCCACTGGTCAAAAGATTTTTGTATTTTCTCTTGTGATATCTGCATTGCCTAACATATTTAGAGCATAATTGTGGAGGACTTTGTTCCATCATTTTCTTTCAATGGAACTAATTTAATGAGACTTGTGACTTGGTATTCTGGAAAGTTAGTTTGTTTTCAAATTTTTTCATGGTGAGGGTCAACACTATCTGTACAGATAAATTGGACATTTTTAGGAAAAAATGTCTTTGTTTTGTTTCAAAATGTAAAAAGGGTCTCAGTCTGTTTTCTTTGTGGTTGAATTTGACTTATTGATGCTATAGATACATATTTGGTAAACTGTTTTAGTAAAGTTAATACCACATTGATTTCAGTTTTACCAAGGAACACTACAATTTTAAGTATATTGCTTTATAAATACCTTTTCATGTTCCTTTTAATAGTGCAATTCGTTTTAAAAATGAAAAAAGTTCTGCAGTTTGAATGATAAAAAATAATCACAAAAGTAAATCCTACAACTGACTACAATAAAGAAAGAGTATGATTGTATAGCTCATACAAAAACTAAAATAAGTAAACACAGAAACAAAGCTTCAAATTAAAATGTCAGGAATGATAATTTTGTGATAAAACTTAATATTGCTGGTTGTACTTGTGTAGCATTCCAAAGTGCACTTAACACCCAACAGGGTTCAAAAGAATTTGTATACCAAGAGTATCATAAATTTGACTTCAGAAAAAAATGAGACAGAACAGAAATGTTTCACTAGGGACAGCCATTTTAACTGTACTTGAGAATACTATTACAACACTCTTAGTCTGGCTACTAATTCTGTGGCAACTGGAAAAAGTCACTAAGCAATTTGAAATACAATTCCAGATATGACAAAATAAGGCAATTCTGACAATCGTGAATAAGTCTGTCAATTAGGCTTTGACAAATTCAAAGTTATACTGGATCTTCTATAATGTCTAATCTAATTGCCTAATCCAATATTGGTAAACAGAATTTGTAACTCTTCCATCTCCCCATGTAGTTGTCAGGCCAGTAAGCTGCCCAAGCTGGACCGAGACATGACTAACAATAATACAAAAGATAGTTAAACATGTCTTTGAATCTGACTTACGATACATGTGAAATCCATAAGAATTAGCACCAGCTAACATAATAATTTTTTCTAGAAACATGATTTTTCCCTGCAAATATTAAAGGAAATTGCCATTTGAAACTACATCCTATACAATTTTAAAAAGAAATGGCAGAATATAAATTATTTCTTATAAATTTTAAGAACCAAGCTTTTGTAGGCTAATTATTTTTATCAGTGTTTTGTTAAAAACAAAATAATACATGAGTATATCAAAGTCTCAAACAACTATTAAAAGGTACTTATTAGTTAAACCTAGCCCTTTTCAAATATATCAGACTTACTCCATCATTCTTAAGCAAGTTATATATATATAAATAATTGTACTCTTGCTACTGCATTTTTAAATCAACCAAAGGCAAGTGTACCCATCAAAACTTAATATTTCGTTACTCATATAGCACTGAAATTGAATCTGTAGATGTATTCTACAGGTTATGTGAATAATTGCAGCTGGTGACTTTAAAGGTTGACTTGATCATCCAATTTACTGTTACTTGCCCTAAATTAGAAAACTGCCTCTGTGAAATATTTATAGGTGTAGTGAAGTTGTATCTTGTGCATAACTGCCTTCCGACATAAAATTTAAAAAACTTTCTGGAAAACAAGTTTTTACTTATGCAGGCTACTCTTTCAAATTTGGCTGTGTATACTAAATTTTCAGTTGGTCAATAGTAACTGGTCCTAATTGCTACCTGGAAATTGTACACTTCTCTACTGATCCAGGTATACTACTGGTTGGCCTGTCTCTCTTTTGCTCCAGTAGTTCTACTGGTTGATCCATATTCTCTATTGGTCCAGTAGCCTTAATTATCAACCTATAGGTTCTAGTGGTCCAGTAGCTATAATGGTCAACCTTTTGGCTCTATTAGTCCAGTAGCTATAATAATCAATCAACAGGCTTTCCTGGTCCAGTAGTAGGGTTTACCACTTGACTTGTATGCTTTATTTTCATCGAGTATCTGCAAAAGTCAATTGACTCACAAAAGTGCAATTTCAAAATTTTGAAAGTTTCTTCAATGTTAGTATTATGATGCGATATAAACTTGAATGTGCTGTTAGTGCTTTTTACATGTTTCATTACACTGACATCAAATCAATCACTCAAAATTGTAGGGAATATAGAATACAATATATCAAATGAGTTCTTAATCTATATATAATCTATTTTAAACTTCTGTAAAATGTATTAACTGTTAAGAGGAGGAAACTTAACATAATCTAAATCATGCTCAGTTTTTATTTTTCAAAATCAAGACACCAACACTAACAATTACAAAAGTAATACAACTTCAGCAAACAAACCTTCCCAATATTTTCCAAGCCTTACAATGGTAATATTTTTAAAGACAATCAATGTGTGCAACTTCCTTGTACTTTGTAGGTTGGGGGATAATTTACTTGCTCTACTTCTGTTGCCATTATAAATGCAAACATTGAAGATACAAGGCAGGTTTCAAAATTTTAACTAATACATTTGACAAGCAACTATTAAAGGACAAAAACAATAGTTGTTTTCATTGTTGCCTTTTATTCAGTGAAATCACAATATTTTTCTTCATTTGAAATCATGATCCTTAATTTTTGACATTACTGATAAGTCTTAAACAGCCTGACAATGTCCACCATTCCTTCAACATACCACCAAATTCGGAATCAAAGTTCCAATGTAGATCAACTCCTAGGCAATTATTTAATCCTACAATAACATGTGTAGGAGGCTTTTTTTTTTTTACCCATTTGGTCATGAAATACTATAAAGTTTTTACTTTTATTAGAAATGGAAAAAGGTAAAGGTTTTATAAATGAATCACAAACTGAATGCTTTGTTCATAGAAATGAAATGTGAAAATTTACCATTGTAGCCAACTCATATCAGTTTTATGACTTTTTCATCAATTCCATACTTATTCAACAAGTAATGGTTTAAATAAAAGGTAGAAAAATTCCAGATGAGAGCAATTCAAAATGTTTTCTGGTGTTAAACAAAAATCGTAATTTTTATGAAATACGGACTAAATTTCTAAATATTATATATGATACACTTGAAAAATACTGTACTGTCTAAGCGAACAAAATAACACTGACCTAATTTTTATAGTACATATAGAGATGTAATTAAAAGATGTTACATCCTAAAGCGGGTTTGGTTATAGCGCTCAACTCGTAATCTACGGTTGCGAGTTCGAATACTTCTCCTTCAACATGTTCGTCAACCGGATGTAAAATAGAATGGTTTACATAAAATACCAGCCGACCAAAACTAGTTGAGAATAAGATCATAATGGAATATATGTATGTGCTAAACTCTTCTATATTTTACTTAATTAACTCGTAAAAAAATTGTATTTTCAAAGTTCTAAATATAAGCCTAAAACTTTGTCTTAAATTATGTGCTATAATTTAGCGCTTGAGTTAGCTCATTTAGCAGGAACTGTATAGTACCTCCTTTGTCATAGGATAATTGTATTGATGACCAATATCACCTGTGGAATGTTTCTTAGACGCCAGCAAACGTTTTTATACTGCAACTTTTTATGGTTATATGGTTTATTCTATGGAATTTGTATTAATAAATTATTGTTGGCAAAAATACGTTATTTTCAATTTCAAAATAGACAAATTGCAAATTTGGTTTGAAACAATACGAAACTTATGGAAAATATACATAAAAACAAAATAGAACTGTCAGAATCTGTTTGCTGTGTAATATCAGTTAAAATGTTAATAATGTTAAAGATATATTGTGTTATAGTTATATTTGAAATTTGGTGATGCTTCGTATTAGTTCCAACACGTTCTTTTAATGCTCATACGAAAAACGCGAATTCCCTTTCCAACTGACAATTGTAGACTCACCCAGGACAAGAGGAATATGGGATACCCTAAAGTAGAACAACGTTTATTATTTCTCAAATAAAAGTACATAGCAAGAATAAGAATTCAACGTACTAATTATTTTTACATCAGAAGCTTTAAAGTAATTAAAGACTTTTAAATATTTAATTTTTTTTTAAATATATTAATCGAAAAACACCACCTGTTTTATTGAAAACAAGTTATTTATATTAGGGAATACGAACAAATTTATTAATTCCCAGATCGTTTAGATAAGTCTTCTAAATTTCCCAAATTTTTGACCGTCCCATTTTATAGGGACGTGATATGATATGAATGAAAGATTATTATCTCTTAAACTATGTTATGTGTAAGGGTAAAACATACTTTAGAGCAAAGATTCTCAAACTGTGGTACAAGGAACTAATGTCGGTGGTACTCGACACAATTAATATAAAAAATCATAAAATTTGTAATAAGCTCTATCTGAGCTTTCCACGTACATATATATATATACACTACTCTCCTCACTTATAGACTCAGCATCTAATTGCAAAGACTCACCAGTATTTTCTTCCTTTAAAATTGATAAAAATGGTACCACATATTCTTCAATTGTGCTAGAAAAAATAATCAGATTAATGGGTAAGCGTTAAAAATATGAATTTTTGTTACTAGGTTTTTCTTATCTTTTAAAAAAATTAGGTCTGGGTTTGTAATTTTTAAAAATTAAACAAAGAGTGATACATGAGCCTGAAATGTTTGAGAATCACTGCTTTAGAGTATATCAGAGTGAAGATATTCAACATGAGAATGTTGTTGGAATCCCTTCTTTATTTTTCTTTACAAAATTAAGATTTATTAATTCGTGATCCGACGTATCTATTATAACTCAAATTTAAAATTTTATGTTACAAAATTGATTTTTTGTTTAAAGTACTAACTGGGCCGTAAATTAGCAGGAATAAAGCTCTTGTTATGTATTGAGGAGGGGGGGGGGGGTAATGATAATAAACTCTCACTTCAAATATACTAGTTCCAAATTCATCGGAGTGATTGGGCTTAATTTTCACTTTTTCTTCGCGGTTTTTAAAATTGAAAAGAAATAATAACAGATGTGTTTCAATTACGGTGATGCTCCGTAGAGCCAAGACTGATGAACGCTGGATTGAGTTAGTTTGAAGTTAAGCACAAAGCTACACAATGGGCTATCTGTGCTCTACCTACCACGGTATCAAAACCTGGTTTCTAGTGTTGTAGGTCCGCAGACATACCGTTGTGCCACTGGACTGAGAGGAAAACGTCGTTGATAATGGATATGGTAAACGTAGTATGGTTGGAGTACTATTATTATACACTCTTGTAATTCTTGAAAATCTCAAAAGGTATAGAAAAGGACTGCAGCGTAAATAAATGTAATAGTCCTAATAATAATGTATTTTGTTTTTTAGTATGTTATTTCATTCCAGTCCCAAAAATGCAACTTGCAGGCCAACAGACGGTTAAGCCCTCTACTCGGCCAAATGTATGAATTCCTGGAAGGAAATAAATAATATCAAATAAATTGGTATAGGAAAGATGAGACTCACTAGTCAAACAGGAAACACAGGAGTGGACACATAGCAACTTCGCAGAAAGTAGTAAGAATTGTCAGTGAAAACTGAAAATACATAAGATGTATATATATGTACATGTATGGGGTGGTAGAAGTAACATCCGAATGACATAAAAATTTGGATCATCCAGTGGAAGAGACATCTAATAGATATTAAGGAGATGTTCGGCAGGCGAAATGAGCTTCTGGCGTGGATTCACAGACAAACATAGCAAATCCACACGGATAATGTTATTGTTTATGAAGCACAATTGTATCTATTTTTGACGAAGTACGTAGATGTGAAATGATGGAAGGAAATGTAATATGGTTATATAGTTCCTTGATTGGACTTAGAAGACGAATCCAGAAAGCTAATCAGAGAGTTCAACATTCCAGAATTATTAGACGGTCATTATATGTGGAGGAAGCAGTGTAGCGAATGTATTGTTATGTATTTATTTTTAATATGAACGTTGTTTAGATTAAATTTGTATTAAAAATATCCGTAACTTATAGTGTC